AAAAAAAAAAAAAAAAAAAAAAAAAAAAAAAAAAAAAAAAAAAAAAAAATCGATCAATGAAGAACAAATCAACATTTTTGACCAAGTTCAGTCGAGGGATGTTATCGCGTGCGTCGAGAATATCTATTATAGTTACCGAGGAGTATTGAAACAAAAAATAAGACGATAAACAAAGGCACCTATCACCCCGGGGGGTGAAAAATCATCCGTATGCGCGATGACACTACTTGGACCGGCATATGTATACATATTATTATACTTACCTCAGACCGCATTTGTATAGGAGCACGGTGTATGTAACGCGGATTCGCCCTCGGGGCATTATTTTCTCTCTTTCTTTTCTCGCGGTGTGCAACGCGTTTACGAGTAAGAAAAAAGAAAAAAAAAAAAAAAAAGATTCAACAGATAGTCATCGCGGCAAAATTAAGCTCTTTACAAACGTCAATGCACGAAATACTCGTCTCGCTGGCAGCTAAGAGGAATTATCACGCGCTGAGTTCAATTACATTGTAAAGGGGACCGTGTGCCTTCGTTACTTAAGTAAACATTCTCTTGTAATATACGTATGATGTAGAGATGCATACGTTGTAGTAAAAATTAAAATAATAATCATAATAGTAATGATAATAATCAAGCAAACTTGGAGGCTAAAATAAAATAAAAACTTATGTCATATACATAAAATAATGCGCAAAAGTTATCTTTTATCAATTATTTCTATATTGTGTGCCGATCGACTCTACAGCTAAGAATCGACAACAGCAACATCATCATCATTATAATAATCACTCACTGTTTTAGTTGCTTAATCTTTAAAATGCCAACGATCAATCGTCGTTACAAATAGACTCTCTTAACGACAGAATTGCACCTAAGGCCACTTGGATAAGATTGTGTTTCTTATATCTCAAGGAAAATTATAGGGAATGTTACCTCTGCCCCTACTCTTATCAACTGAGTAAATATCGAGTCGCGACTTCCCTTAAACGAAACGCAATGGCACGGCCAAGTTGTAAAAAAAAATTATATTTTCTACTGACGTCGCCTTCTTGGGGGCGGCACCATTATCTTAAAGCATTGTCGGAAAGCTGATGTATTAGTTTCTAAATTTTTGTTCAGTAACAGTGACGAAAAATTGATTCTTCTACCTGTATACAATTTTGATTTATTTGTAGTCATTTTAATTAGAAATTCAAGAAAATGTATTGCGTTACAAAAAGATTTTTCTAAATTTTAAATTCATAAAAAAAAAGTTTTTTTTCACAATAGCAATGTACAAGGTATTAATGATCAGCTTCCGCTCAACGCAATTACAAAGCTGTAGCAGATGAATCTCATGAATCACGAAAATTGAAAAATATAGCCTAGCCTAGTCTACATTTAAACCTCAATGTATTTCTATATAATAATCACAAAAAATGAGACTAAGACCCGAGAGTCATACGGATATCTCAATCTTAAATACGGGCCTCTGTCGAAATACTTTATAAAAGTACATGAAAAGTGAAAATAAACAAGTAAAATGTATGTTTGTTGATGATAAAAAATGTATAGCTATATACGTTTTAACAACGAACTACTGTTCATCAAAATTTGCAAAGTGAAAAATATTTTGAATCGTGTCAATTGAATTTTTTCGTTTATCCAACTTTTAATTATTTCATTTTAAAACTACAAATTTATAGTAAAGTTTATACATTTATAGTGGAATGTAAAAATTGTTTTAATAGAAAAGTAAAAAATTATGTATTACTGCTACTCGAGAACGTGAAAAAAAAATAGGCAAAACTAGAAAATAATAAAAATTTTAATATTTTCAAATAACAGAAAATAATATTAGTAAAAGTTTCGATGTTGATTACACTTCCAGCCTTGATAAAAATCACCCAAGAATATGTCGGTGTTTATTGTAACAATAAAGTGAGAAAATCCGATAACTAAGAATACAATCGATATTTTTTGTTTATAATATCAAAATAGAGCTTAACTAAGAAGTAATAAGCTAATAAGTATTAAGATATGACTTAAGTACAACCACAATAACTTGGTTATTCATTATATGGCATTCGTATCTTTGCGCGCGCATCAATAACATTTCATCATCAGTACCAAATCAAGCATCATTTTAATTGATTACTCAGAAATTCATCCCTGCAATTTAAATATACAATTTCTTATTGTTCTGTATGGCTGTAGCTTTGCACGTTCAGAAGTTCATTTTGCTCGTCACCGAAAAAAAATATAAGAAGCTACATGTAACAGTGGTCATATAATTTTTTAAATTTGTCTAAAAAAGATGTGACAGTTGTCATTTCTTCATAAATTTTACTTTTATAACAATGTAAAAAATTGCCGTCCAGTTACGTTCAACACAACTTTTTGTATCAATTGTTGGTTCAAATAACACAAACAAAAAAAAAAATTTGAGCTGGACACGACCAATCAAAGCAATGTTTTAATCGAAAAAAAAGTGTACAAATCACCCCACTTTTGTGAAACTTTCATTTAACCCATCGACACCGCTTAAAATTTTTAACTGCATAACAAAAAATAGAAAAGTACGAGTGGGTAATTATGAAAGTATAACAAATAAAACGCTCTCTAAGCTGTGTTACTACTGTTTCTCATTGTCGTCAGAATCGTTGTACGCAAGTGTGAAGCAGAAGGCACGCAAATATTGACGCAGGAATAATATTTGTTAACATTTATTATGCAGCAAACCGAGCGGAGTGGTCCGTTTTTCTTCCTATGCTGCTTCTGTTTTTCGGTGATTACTTCGTGTATATTATACTTTTTGCGAACGTGCGCTGTTCCTTCTTCGCTACCTGTCTGGCCCTTGTCTTCTACGCTGATAATCCATATTCTTGACTTGTTTTTCGTCACTGGCTTCGTGCAAATTCTCATCTTATTTTACTTGCTTTCCTTCTCCTTTGATTTGCCACAGTTTTTTAAGGAGATCATATCCACTCGTACGTTTCCTATTCGTATCGAGGCTACGTCGAATCTGTAACATAAATAAAAATTATTTGAGTTTAGTGTTGTAATTGCATTTTTACATTATATTCCATTATAATCTACCAAATCTGGTGTTTGTCACTTTATTATTTATAAAACAGGATAAAGTTGCATGTTACATTTATCATAAATTCATTTAGGCTAATGATTTTAAGTAAAATTTGTGAATGGAACTATTCTCGCATTTTTGTTCAATTTACAATAACGGTTAATTTTTTTTTTTTTTTCTATTTAGATTTCTACAATTATTTGTATATAATTCTCGAGTCTCCATTATTAGTGACCTACATTTAAATTGATGGGAGCATGATAATACCTGCGTCGTTACTGACGTCTTGCAAACGCGTTAGATTTGCGGCGCTACCTCCTACTTTCTCCTCTGTAGTTGAAAATTACGTAAAGATCTATGAAGACTTTCATTAATTCAATAACTTTTCGCTGTATCAACATAAATCAGGATAAGAAATGCCTAGGTGAAGTTGCTGTCGATGCGCATATCGTTCATACAGACTTATGTCACAAGAATCGAGCAAAGATCCTCCAAGTCTTTCCATTTCGACGTACTGTTTGTAAATATTTTCGTCAGTATTATCGTGACCATTATTTTTCGATTCAGAATTATGTGCATCGCTACCAAAAAGTTTTATTGAATTAGAAAATTTGAAGTGAGCTTTTGCATTGTCATCTCCATACACTGTATTCCTCATTGCCATTAACACAAACTTCTTATACAAATGTACATCATTTCTTTTTGGACAAGTAGGCTGTGTTCCGTATACTTCTTTCATTGGCGGAAAAAGTATTTCAAAGCTCAGTTCCATGCTGTTTTTCGACATAGTGATTTGAGAATCTATTAATTCCTGACTTTCTTCGTCGTCCGAGCTGGACATACTCGAACTGGCACTAGACGCAGTGCTGCTTGTACTACTCTGCCCAGACAGCGAGGGGTTTTTAATGTTGACGTTTTTATTTCCAGCCTCCTCTCTTCTTTTGCCAGGTCTCACTCTGACCGCAAATGGACTGAAGTCTGTTGTAAAATGTGGCATAAAATCTCGCACAGAGTGGCTTACTTGGTATGAAAAAAGTTCAGATAGCAAAGATAACTCGTACGGCCTATAGTAGTCGTAATATACATCGATCATTTCCTCTTTTGCGTCTTGCACCAAGATGACTTCTGCACACGTTTTTGTAACATCCCAGTAAGCATACGGAAGACATCTCGTCATACTTTTGTCCCACCATTGCGTTAAAGTATTGGATTTTCTAAAATATTTACAAGCATGTTTGTGATGTAAATAATAATCAGTCGGAAATTCCCAAATTGGTGGTTTCCCCTCTTCAGGTATAAATAGACCCAACAATATATTTATTGTGTGTTGCTTTTCCTGATCGCTAAAAGTATTACTGTAGTATCTGCTCAAAGTTTGCATAATATCGTTTCCCTGACTAGTCCAAGGAGCAGTTTTTCGGTACGTTTTTATTCTGTGGACCAGTTGACTGCCTCCATATTGCAAAGCCAAAGTGTCGCCATGATCTTCATAAAGTTCTTCTAGCATGCGCACACAATCGGTATCAAATTCAAGCTTTGGTGTATTCAAGATACCTAGGGCATACAACTGATAGCCTAGCGCGCACTTTCCAATGACAAATTGTGCAGTATTTGTTCTATCCAAGCAGTCAACGCAGTTGGTTCTTATAATGCCAGTTTGAAGAATTCCTTTGTCTGCTGAAACTTGCTTTGACTTATCGTTTGTCAGATAAAAATTTTTCAAACAATTGCTACTTGGATTTTTCAATTGGTAATTCAAATCCAACTTATTGAAATATGCATTAGACGATATAAAAAGTCCTGTTTTAAGTACTGCATTGTTTGCAATGTTTTCCAGCCGTTCCATGACGTTTGCTTCTTTGGCTCTATTTTTTCTTGCCATGTCAAAACTTATGTACTGAATATAATGCTCTGTGGGTAAAAACTGATTCAAATATTTAACTGATATGTTCATTTCTTCGCTTAATGTGCTCTCGTGCTTTTTCTTTTCCCTTTTTTTGACGAGATTGAGTATAATTATGGGTGAGCCATATCGTTTTAAAAGATCATTAAAATGAGCTCCAGCAGTATCTATGAAGGGGTCGGACAAGTCTATTGTAATAGTTGGTTTGGGAACCATTTTACTGACATCTTGACTCCAGTGAGAGGGCACAGAGCCACGCATTTGCACAAAAGAGCTAAAGTGACCATTGTTTAATGAGCTAACACCAGAATCGTGAACAATTTGCTCTGTTTCTACTTCATTTGCGACATCGCCATGAAAATTGGAACCACGTTTAAGAAATCTGGTTCCAGCATACTTGTTACTTCTTCTGGCTATGATCGTCACATACAATGACCTTCCAAAAACACTAATATTCGATTGACCAATGAAACCGTGTATTATGTATAATATCCAATCTGAATGTAAATTGATTTCAACTGGTGATAACAAGTGTGTATTCCAAACAAAACGCCTATGAAAACTATTTCGAATGCCATAATGAATTTTTTCTTTTTCATTTGTCACATCATTCGTTGAATGTGTCCACATATTAAAAAAGTCAGAATCAGGAATGGATTTGTTTTTGCTCCAAAGACTCGAAAAACTTTTTGGAATTTCATTGCTAATGCGTTTCGGCAAAGTCATGTTGCTTTGCAGAGTGTGAGTCAAATCGTAAGAATAACTGAAATAAAAGTTACTACTAAGATCGATACTTTGAAACATCTTCACGTATCTCTGTTCATCGGGATGAAAAAGTCTCACAGAATCACTTGGCACGTATATCATTGTAGTGTCTTCGATTTTATAAATAGTATGATGTCCAATGACTGCAACTCTTCTTCTTTTTGTTATGAGAATGACATAGTAGCCTTCTAAGAAACGAATGAATCCAATAATACCAAAAGCAGATACAATTTTTGTGACTCCACCGGAATTGCCTCTCTGATGGGAGCGGCTTTTATTACCAGTATCAATCATTTTTACGAGATCTCTTATTTCATCTTGAGTGTACTCAATTTTATCGTCCACTATGACTAAATCTTTCGGTTCCGTCCTGTCGATTTTCAAAACACGAAAGTGCGTTAGAGTGTTATTCGAGCCTATGAGAAAGAAATGAGATTTGGTTTCGTAAAGGGCAATTTTTTGCACGGGAGTGATAATCGGGTGAAAAGTAACGTTAGAGTTTGTTTTTCTGTCACCCATTTTTGCCATCCGGTTAATTTGACACTTTGAGAGAAATCGAATACAACCAGCTGTGTTTTAGGTTAAGTCGTGAAAAATTGTTTAGTTGACACATACAATTCAACTTAGTTATGGCGGTTCGTATACGGATGAGGATAATTAAGTTTCATTGAAACCAAATTAAAAAATTCTATATTAAAAGAAAGTGCTAATTTGACAGACGCTTGTATACACGGGAGAACACTTGCAGTTGACGCCCTCAATGCACTGCAGCAGACAACACTGACTCGCTGCGATGCATGCTTTTCAAGTGCTACATATATATATATATATATCCAATTCTACAAAAAACCAACCCAGAAAGGAGTCCCTCGTGATTAAGAATGAGAAAATTTGTAAACTCAAATAAATCATTTTTTGGTATCTTGAAAGAAAAAATTTTTCGATTTTTTTCCCAATATCAGGATAAGCAAGTATTTTCAGTGAATTTTTTAAAATTAAGTAGTAGTTTCGAAAACTACGATTGTTTTATTCGATGATAATGTGGTATACATGGCAAATAAATTACTGGGAAGATTTTCTAAGACGATAATCAGTTGTGATTGTAAAAAATAAATAACGTTAGAAACAGTTTAATACAAATTTGGTTTGGGGAGCAGTGGTTTTGTACATGTACAAAACTTAAGAAAAGTGAGTTTCTTATGAAATGCGTGATGAAAAAAAAAAAAAAAAAGCTTACGTAGAGCTGTGCAAGTGTTTCATTGAATAAATCCAATTGTGATGTTTCGCTGCATTACGCGAATTTTTCTACCGTCTTACCCAATATATATTCTTGAGTCAATTTTCTTTGTCGCAGATGAAAAGAGACAAAAAAAAAAAAAAATACATAGTACTCAAAAAGCTCGAAAAAATTGATGGGCACAGCCGCTGTACTCGGCTCAGTTGAATTATCATTCCCCATTGTGCGTCCCTCGTTGTTTTTTTTTTTTTTTTTTTTTTTCTCACGAGCTCTCGGCAAAAACTTTTTCGTCCGGGCACGTATACACGTTTGGGTCCGAGAGTACACATTGCACGTACAAGTACATGCCCATATGTGTACAGATTACACACTCGCGCGCCCGGACGGGTCCCTTTTCGGCAGTGATCTCGCTCTCTCTCTCTCTCTCCGCACAGGCATAGTTCTCCGGTCGTCGACCTTCCGCCTCCTCCTGTCTCTTTTCCATCGCTTCAGGGATTGAAGGTATAAGGTAGGTATATATACATATTATATACATGCTTTGCTACATGTACTGTTTTATACATGCACGAGCGTCAGTTCAGGGGGCCTTTATTTCCAAGCGCCCGTACCTCTGGTTATGCGATAAAAAAATGCTGCTTCGCTAAAATCGACACTTGACAATATCAGATCCTGCGGTTGATTGGTCCCCGCATGTACCCACATTGTAATATGGCTTGCGTTTTTTTTTCATACAAGGCACCAATACTCATCGCGATGAGAACGAAAACCATAATTACAAACGTATATCACTATTATTATAAAAATACATCATCATCCACTCGATTCCTCGAAATCGGCGCGATATTTTACCATAAAATAAAGATACGAAGTATTTTTTACGATGCACAGCCCTTATTTGACATATATACGCAAAAAAAAAATAACCATTGTAAGATACATTTTAGTCATTTGATAAGAATTTCCTTGGTAACTACACGTAGTTTTTTGCTCGGGTGAAAAAAAATAAAATGTGCCCTCGTGGATACTCGGAGATGAAACGAACAAGAAAACTGGCGGTTGTCAAGTATAAAGAGATGTACTTTTGCTCTCATATCAATACAACTCGTGTACACTTTTGATATGGTGTAACGAAACAATGATATTAATGGCACGCGTGAGCTCCACCGACTTGGCTTATAATATATACAGTAAAGAATATACCACAACTTTACCGTAAAGGGCATATAATTATGCAGATGTGCCCACACGCGCATTCATACGTTTTACAATTAAAAAAAAAAGGCGAAGGCGAAAGGTAATAAAAAAATTGGCTCCTTCGTAGAATAGGCGAATAATACTGACGGGGGTAGGTATACGTACACGTGTCCACCTATCAAGGTACAACAAAGCGTGACAGAAGGGGGTGGGGTGGGGGGGGGAAGAAATGACAAGCGACATTGTAATGGTATAATATAATTATATAGTTGCGCGAGTCGGTGCGTGCGACGAGCCATCATCATCATCATCATCGCAGCCATGCACGGCGATGACAACGACATGAGCTTCGGAGCCCCGTATTTCCGGCGGATGGACACACGCGAGCGAGAGAGGAGATGAAAATCGCCCTTGGCTAAGTTCCGGAGGCACGCGAGCGTGCACGCAATTTTGATGCGCGATACTTACTTATTTTACTACAAGTACCTACGCAACGACTCACCGACTTTGATGTCGCGTGCAAAAGCCGACTGATGATGACCTTAACCGCGTGCATGTGTACATACATACTATACTTATATACGTACTTTTATTATTATTATTATTATTATTATTATATTTTACATGCATACTTATATGTATGCCGCCCTTCGAGTCGAATTGATGCTTGATCGTACCGACATAGTAGCAATTGATTCAAATTTTTTCATTTTTAACAATTGTTTCTTTTTTCATACAGATTCGCTTATCGAGTACTGTAGAGCGTTGTCGTGAAAAAAAAAGTTATGACGATCGAGCGAGAATAATAATCCTTCAATATCATTATTCGATCATGTTGTCCATAATATATCATGTTGATACGATCAACGCGGGTAATATGCTCAACAGCTATAGGTAGATAGGTATGTATATATATGGATTGTTACATTATAATGGTAACCAATATCTAACGTGTGAACGAAGAAAGAAAGATAAGCCAAATGACTTTGGGCGTCCCGTGCACTTGAAGTATAAAATATAATGTTAATAAGTACCATCTCTTTCACTTTTTCGAGTATGGATGTATAAATATAACGAGCCTTCGAAACTACAAAACGAAAAATCAATTGACTCGAAAAAAAAAAAAAAAAATAAATAAATCGGTAAGAGCCGCAGCTGCATAGATTTCCATTCGCCTTCGTCCACCACACACATTTCGATGTTATAATGTACGAGCTATACAATCAATGATGTACCGAAAGGGTCACGAATATAAAGCTACTATCCATGAGCGGTAACTAATTCCGAGTGTTTTTTCGCGCATGGCATTGCACGTTGCACAAGGGAGTAGATACCAAACTGCAGCCGGGGGAGCAGCTTAAAAGTAAATGCTTAAGCAGTACAAATATATTGTATATATAGGTATGGGTACATTATATACGGGGTGAGGGCGTTTAACCACCATCTACACTTACAGGCCACGCGCGTTACATCTTCCGGTTTTATTTACTCATAAGCGCCGCGCAACTTGCAATTTGCTCGATCTACTCTACTTATATTTATGTCATTGTATGTAACCATACACTTTTTTTTTTTTTTTTTTTTTTTTTTTTTCTTATAGTCGAATGTATTACATTATTTTCTTCACTTTGCAGCTAGTCTTAGCGATCTCGATTTTGGATTACTCATTGAAGCTACAGTGACTTCTATTGATAATGTTTTTTAAAAGTGATACAATTTTGTGATATTTTTAGCATTTACACCAAACTAATGAATATAAGTAACTCGTGTTTATTTGTTGATTCGTGCAGTATATGTGCAATGTTTTGAATTTTGTTTTTTTATCGTGTGATTTGTGAAAAAATAATTAATATTTCTTGTTGACTACTTGTTACAAATTTTGAATATTAAATGCATATATTGTGGAAATTTTTTATTTTATTCAAGTTATTCATAATGAGTTTTGACCCACATGATTGGAAAATAACTATAGGTTTCATTTAACGTGATGAGCAACAAAGGACAGACAATGGGATTAAAAATAACAGTTTTCTTCATTTCATTGTCGTTTATTGAAACACTCTTTAGGATATACAAGCATTATTGAAAGTATAAAAAAAAAATTGAACAATTGCTTATGGAAAATCACAAAAAATGTATGATGCTAACGAGCATTTAAAGGCACATACGATCCTCGACCCTTACACTTGAGCATTTCGCCGCAATGACACAAGAGACTGTGGACAAGTTGTAAAAAGAATAACCCAGAAAGTAACAACGACAGTAAAAAATAGGCTTAGAAACTCCGACTTATTAAAATCCAAAGAAAAATATAACAATCAAAAAGACCCGTAACAAAAGTGTTACAAACTGACAATATGTCTGAAAAAGAAAAAAAAAAAAAAAAAGATTCAACAGATAGTCATCGCGGCAAAATTAAGCTCTTTACAAACGTCAATGCACGAAATACTCGTCTCGCTGGCAGCTAAGAGGAATTATCACGCGCTGAGTTCAATTACATTGTAAAGGGGACCGTGTGCCTTCGTTACTTAAGTAAACATTCTCTTGTAATATACGTATGATGTAGAGATGCATACGTTGTAGTAAAAATTAAAATAATAATCATAATAGTAATGATAATAATCAAGCAAACTTGGAGGCTAAAATAAAATAAAAACTTATGTCATATACATAAAATAATGCGCAAAAGTTATCTTTTATCAATTATTTCTNATGTAACCATACACTTTTTTTTTTTTTTTTTTTTTTTTTCATTTCGCGACGAAATAAGCCAGCATACTTATCATACATCAGTCATGCGGCTGCATCACCGCGAGTACAGTTCGCCCTTTCAAATGTAAATGTACCCCCACATATTAATTGCACGAGTGCTGCCGTCGCCTCTATGTGTACAACCCCCCCATCCCCAATATTAAGCACTCGCAAATTCACAATAATGACGACGCCAACGACGATGATTCTTCATCCTTCGGTGAATAATGGAATAGGTGTATAATGTATAGCCGTGAGTGGGTATATGTATATATGTAGAGGTACGCGAGTCAAGTTTCACAGCTGCGTGTATTCTTGTATGTATACAAGCGTCGTCATGTAGACTGAGAAAAACACTTGTATGTACAATCATATTGTACCGTATACGAATAACGTACGTACAGCGTGCCATTGGCGCCCGCGAGGATGTACGATATATTATTTATGCAAACGAGGTATTATAAATACGTGTATACCTTACCTATATATAAGTACCTCGTATAAGCGAGAGTTGGCAACGTTTTCCGTCGGTTAAGCTGATCTAAAAATGAACGACACGGCATTTTTAATATTAGCTGCATTTTTTTATTCTACCGAACCACGATCAAAGCTAGATTACGCCAGAACTACTTCCATCACAGGGTGAAAAAGCGCAAGTTTCCTCACCAATTCACATACATATATTATTATTATTGTTATTATTATTATTATTATTATTATGATTATTANTTATAGGGATACGTAAATATGTATATATGTATTGTGTATTATGTATGCGCGTGTTTTGCAAGACAATAAATGGGTAATGATTGAGTATTTGTTACGGATACGAGAGGGTACTATATTGATAATAATTGAAAATTTCAAGGTATGGGAGATGATGTAACAAGATGATGCAGCACTGAAAGAGAATCCATCCGGACAAACTATATAATACCTTCCGATCGGCTGTAAGTACGTTATGTGTGTAGGTAGGTATAGTTGACGTTGGCTTGATAGATCAAGTAAATCACAAAATTGCGTCCGACCGGCGCGGCGCAACGGTAGGCTCTCTGCACTTATAACCCAATATACGCCTACAGCATAGCCATGTAGGTACATAGGAAATGTATTGGGCGCACCCATGATGTACCGTTCAATCGCGTGCTGGGGCCAAATTGAAAATCGAAATGCTTCAATAACCCGATGCCCAACTCCAGGGTGAAACAAGCCATCTGGGCGTTTTTCCTTTTTTTACTCCTCATTCTTCGGTGGCTAAGGTGCCCTCTACAAATTACTCAGGTATACATGTATACATTTATACCCCTTCACATATTATTATTATTATTATTATACACCCACGAGGGGGTTTTAACTACATATTTATACACATGCACACAATTTTATTTAACCTGACTAAATATGCATGCCTATATTGTGATGCAGTTTTTTTTTTATACCTTGTATTTCATAGATATTTGTATAAAATGATGTGTACCCAATTGTAATGGAGTATAATCCTTGAGCTGCTGAGATAACCCGCAGAGTCAATTACACATCAAACTATGGAGTGACGACTGTATAATATATATATATATATATATATGTATGTAGAGCACGCAACCATAGGTATAATATATAGAGTTTATAATTGATTATCAAGTTCGAATAGCTGCTCGACACGAGCCGCGTGGCACGCAGGCAGGGTATATTATACTTACCTATATGTGCTTGGGTATATCAGCACACTATTATAAATATGTATATTTGAAAGGTCCGGTATATAATATATATGGCTTCTGAATAAAGTATATAGATACGCATTACGAGTTTTATCGGTGGAAATTTATCGATTGCTGAAGGGGAAGGGGGTTTGGCCTTAGCTCCGATCGATCATGCGAGAGAGTGAGAGAGAGAGAGAGGTGAAAAGTGAAGGTTGCATATTACGAGGCAATCGTTAATAAGCGCGTATACACTTATACTTGATAATATACAGGTACGAATGATTGATAAATTTCAATTAGGGACAACTTGTATCATAATGGGATAAATAATAGATGGTGCTGCTTATAAAACGTGCGTATTATTGTATAGCTGATGGTTATACCTATGTAGCCTATACACCTCTTATTGGCGCATCGATTAATTTACCGAGATTAGATAGAGAATAGTACCTGTATATCATCTGTACTCGTGAGTTACTATCCGTTAAATGTGTGTACTAATTATGGGTGCCCCACGTAATGCGTATTGTATAGCGATGGGCCAGACAAAATAACGATTTTCATATNATGCTGCAGTATATAAGTAACAAGCTCCACTCGCCGTTACCTCCCTCTTTCTCACATGTGTATAATTACACGCTCGTGTAAAATACATCTTGTTACACAAGTATGTACATACCTGCAGTGCAAGATATATATATATATATATCTTGCACTGCAGGTATGTACATACTTGTGTAACAAGATGTATTTTACACGAGCGTGTAATTATACACATGTGAGAAAGAGGGAGGTAACGGCGAGTGGAGCTTGTTACTTATATACTGCAGCATCCGCAGCTGGAGAGTTTCGTTCGTTCTATTGTTTCCCGATGCGTCCGTTCTGCAGCTGCAGTTTATAATATATAAACATATATATACACACGTGATGGTCAACTATAGTGTATAGGTATAATCTCCGTATACCTTGTAACTACGTATGTATACGTATGTTCAACTGAACGAGGTAGATATTTATAATATTGGGTGCAGATATAGGGCGTATAATATATATACACACCCAACAATGGGACGCGAGGGCGAGCGGCGCGTGACTCGGCGATTCATTCGCGCGTTTGGCCCGTTATCAAATTACTCGTCGGTGCAATTCCACGTCTCACGTACCTACTTATTACATTTTGAAGGTAAATTTACCATGTGTGTGTAGGTAAAGGTAGACACAGAGTGGATAATATATTCGAAATTAATGGGTATAGGTGTATATATCTCCCTATATTATATAGTTGTATTGACGAAAGTGAGTCTCAGCCCCCCCCCGCTGCCCCTCGATTTACGTAGTTATTTGCTTGTTTTAACGTCATTTTTAATCAAATTATATTTGAGTGAGCTCCCCCCCGCTACCCCTCGCTCCCCCTCCACCTCCCCCCCATAAAATACTTATTTATTTAATGTTTTACCATCATAAATGTTAAAAAATATACGCAATTTAGTACCTAAGTCGTACCTCGTTTTTAGGATTTTTCTATTAGCTTAATGTTGTGAGTCTACTCAATCTGTTAGTGGGAGGTTGGCGCGCGGAGCGCGCAGGGGGCGTTAGCCCCACTAGTATATATATACATACACACATCCATTCGGGCGCTATCACAGCAGCACCAGCAGCCATGATGCATTCAGCTCTGTGAGGCGGGATGAAGTGCACTCGGATATTCGCTGCGTTTCCACGACTTCCCTGCTGCACCACCTAGGTATATATGTATAATACGTATTGATATCTCGACTCGATCCCTCGAGCGTATACCGAGTTTATCCCTCTCTCTCTCTTCTTTCGTTTCTGCTGTTTCTCGCAATAGTTGCAGGGTATACCTATACCCACCCACAGCAACGTGTCATTTTTCTCCCTGGCTCACGGCGCACTGCTTTCAACTTTTGCTATATATACCTAACCCTCCCCCCCCCGCCCGTATCGCGTATATATCGCTTACAAGCTATTTGCAGCCGCGGAGATGATCCCGTGCACGTGCGAGAGCGCCTCAGATTTTTCTCGAGGAAAAGACGTGCGCCTCCCTCCGGGGCTTTTCCATTAGAGCCGATCATCCCTCCGTTTATACATATACATATTATACCTGTACATGTGTGTACACATAAGTAACCGAGCAGATGAGCCTCGGGTCAACACCGAGGAAACGAAAAATACTCACCGTGGTTCTTTATTATTTCGAGCGATCCCGTGCACGCGCTTCTGTTCCCTCTCTACTACCCTATACCTAAGTAATAACTGCGTGATGGGTGGTGTACATACACCTCAATAACGCCTTTTCCATCAATACAAGCTTGCATATATAAATATATTTTTTTTTTTGCAGCACCTTTTTGTTCCGCCTCGCTCTCGCAAATCAAGAAATTTATCCCATGATTTTCACTT